CTTCTCCACCCGTCAGAGGTAAGAGTGCTGCTTCTTAAAGCACACTGAAGAGAACAGCATCAGATGAGGTGGTATGCCTAATACTAATGCCGGACGGAGGGACGGCTAACAGTAACCCGTCAGAATATATATAGTCTCGCACGACATTACATGCTATGGCCGGACTGACTAACACCAACAGCTCGCTTCCATCCCTATTATGCACTCAGGGATCTCCACGACCTAGAAGGCGTTCCTACTCTACCCAGTACCTGGGTGACCCATGTCTCTCGGTCGTTCCGATCCATTGTGTGTTAAACTGAATGGTGTGTCGACGTTGCGATGCAGAGATCTCATCTATCTTTGTGCCATAGATGATGGAGTGATAAGATTAGTTATGGACAGGTGTCTTTTATACTGATTAGAACGAGTTCAAACAGGGCCATTAATACAGTTAACAGTGGAGAACGAGAGGCTCTTAAAGAAGAAGTTTGAACAGGAGTCTGCGGAGATCCAGAAATCCTTGTTGTTTGTACAGTGACCCAAAACTTAATTTTACGCGGAATTTTACCAATAATTCATTCACAAATCCTACCAATGTGAGTTCCTGGATTCTTTCCCCCCATTTCGTCCCAATTGAGGTTAGTACTAGGGAGAAAATTACAGGCCTCTCTCATCTTTTTAAGGAGAACTGCCACAATTGGTGGCGACTAGAACAGAGCATCGAAGCTGACCATATAAAGATACTGAATATAATAGAGACAATATTTGCTGTAAAACAAGACTTCGTAAGGAGAAAAACTCTAAGACACGTCTTTAACATGATTCTGATTCATGCTAAAATTTTAACCTGCACCCTCCTCTGTAAAGGTTGGTTTCCCTCTTAAAAGTGGTGAACTGTCCTCACCTTGTATCCACTTGTGGGGAACTCAACACGTGATGGTGACGGTGCGTTGTGAGGCGCCGTCTCCACTGCCTTTGCTGGGGCGTCACAGTGAAGCCTTGCCTGCTGCAGAGAGCCACGTTGCTCCCAGTGAAACTCACCACTCTGGGGGGACAACAGAGAGTTGAGTCCATCACACACACACACACACACACACACACACACAACACCACACCACACAACACACACCACCAACCAACACACACACACACCACACACACCACACACACACACACACACACACACACACACCACACACAGCACACACCACCACACACACACACACACACACACACACACACACATCCCACACCACACACCACACTATAATATTTTAGGGGTTTGGATGATCTTAAGAGAAACCCCTGACTCTTATTAAGATAAGATGGACCTTCATTTTTCCCCGTGTGATATTCAGGTGTCATAGCCAGCCAACAGCAACGGGGTAAACATAGACGAAATGAATCATACAGGGATATAATAATATATAATGTATTAATAATAATGAATCAATTAATGATTAAATAAAGAAATGGTGAAGACTAAGGTGTAGGGAAAATATGCTGAAAGAAAAGTGACGCTTTAGGTTAAAGTTCTACATATATGTCAGATATACCTATGTTTATGCGGACTTATCCAATATATACATTCTCGTCATTTGCGAAGTATGAGCCCACTTTTTACCATAAATTCTGTGAGAGTCGTCGTACAGCAGCTGCAGGTTATTGGATCGAGTGTTATGAATGTTTATATGAACTCCCCTCATGATGCACTGCAGTACACATGATGCAGCATGTAGCAGCCATCAGTACCTTCTTGCTGGCTGGGTGGAGCGATGGAGCCCACCTGAAGCTCCCTCAACAGCGGGGGTGATAGCCCCCCCGCTGCTAGCCGGCCCTCAGGCTCACCAGCACAGGGATGGTGCGGGCTTCTCCATCACCTCTGACCTGCCTCCAACAGACGACCGAGGACAGTTAGGTCTATTTACCAACCGGTAATAGTACTTTCACCGACCAAGTTGCAAAAACAACATTTTGGTTAGACTAATACCGTAATAACCCTATGGGGTGGGAAAATGAATCCACTTGTACCAATTTCAAGGCTCCCTGAGGATGACTGGGGGAGCCCCTGACTTTCAATATGCAGTGCGTTTTAAGTCAAAAGGTCCAATACTTTGTTTTAAATAGCTGCATTGAAGGACCTTCACATCAGGCCTCCAGATGCCTTTGTGGTTGTTGTAAGTTGGTTGACTTACATATATATTTGGCCATCAGCATGTTAGTATTATCGGTATATAGCATGCTATTCTTAGAGGGGCAGAGAGCCCGCTCGTGAACTGTTAGCGCCAGAGCTCCGTACGGGGAAACTGTGGCGCATAGATTTTGAGGCCCCTGCGCAAGGGCGATTCAGACAAACATGAAGTGGATGATGTATGCTTATGTTTTTGAAAACAAATAAAAGGGGAGAATAGTCTAGAATGTGTGCAGTGTGGATGCCCATTCTCTTTGGTACAGCGTTTGTGCCACACATGGCACATTCGGCCAGTGTGGCACAAATGTTGCAGAAATAGCAGATGACAACATCTTCATAATTTTGGTCACTTGCATGAGACCCTCCAGAAAAACGCGTGCAAAAATCCTTGATAATAGCGATTAAACATGCGGGGTTTTATGTGATTTTATGCCGTGGGTGAACTGCCGGAGTTGCGAAATATGCTATAATATGGCGGGAAAAAGAATAACATTTTTTTTAAAATATTGGGCCTGTCTTATTTATTCTCTCTCACACACAACCCGCCACTAACGCGGTTAAACCCCTTTACTATTCATTAAAGACACTTCAAATGTATTTATTGTAAAGCAATTGGGGCCATTTTATCTCACACACACACACCATCCCTCCCCCCACACCACCACACCACACACACACTTATCCACCTCATTCTGTTTTCATGTCTTACATCTTCGTTATCTGAGCCAGCTTCAATCTTGTAGCTACTCACTTAGTTTCTTGTGACCCTCGAAAGGGGTTTGGATGTTGAGGCCTTGGTGAACGTGAGTTGTTTTGGCTTTTTGGTCCGCCAGGAGCAGAAGCATTTTCGAATGTTTGAATGAATCAAGTGGTCTTGTGGGCGATTTTCTCTTATGCTCCAACACACAGTTGCACGGGGTGCAGAATAGTTTCCACCCACTTTTTGCCCGGTCGTTAGTAGAAATGTTCGTCAGTAAATGAGATGGATTAGATTTTTTCATCTTGGTGTTTTCTCTATCGTGTGAGCTCCACACGTTCACTCTATACAGTGTTGTTTACATTCTGTGATGCGCGAGCTGATGACGTCACGTCAAGACGAGTTCACTTTTTTTCCCCTCAACTTTGTGTGGAAAAATGCGGGGATTATGCGGCCTTTTGATAAATATGCGGCCTTTTAAAAATCTGCGCCATTTGGCTGATTATGCGGTAAATTCTGCGATCGCAGAATCGCGTTTTCCTGGAGGGTCTAAACTTGCAGCAATGCCAATCCGGAAACAAATTAGACTTTACTTCTAGAGAAATATTATGTGACATAAAAATCACCGTACAAAAATGACAGTACGAATTCTAGCAAAGCACAAGCTCTCCTCCAAATACAGATGCTGTCATAATGCTCCAACAGCACTTGGATTTACTGTTTTAGTTTGGGATTTCCAGTGACCTAATCCAGGAAGTGCGCCTATTATCTGGATGCTGTTGACAAGCACATGTTCTCTCAGCTCCTTATGATTAGCTTCAATGACTACAACACATTCTTAGTCATATTTATAGTTTCTGTGTCTGTATTTTCGCTGCCTTCAGTATCTTTGAGACCATTTTTGCATGGATAATTTCCAATTTCTAACAGAAGGTGGAGGATACCTGTGATTTGAGGTTGAGCGGTGATCAGTGGAGGGAGGAGGGATTCGATGGGCACCGTCAGAGGGTCTCCTCCACACAGATACATGTTGTGTGAAGAGGCTGCCCCCCTCAGATCCAACACACACACTACACTCTGAGAGACAGAAAGGATACAGGGTTAGGTTGTATTATGTCATCAAGTGATTATAGAGTCATAAAGTGATCAGCGTATAATAATAATTTTGCCCGAACCATGGCATACTTTTAAAGGTAAGTCACGTTTTCTATATAGCACATTTCAACTACAAAACTATTGAAAGTATTTACACAGCGTGCACAAGAGAGAGGGAAAACAGAATAATCACATATGTTGGTAGTATGTTGGAGAATAAAAACTGAACGCTGATATTCAAGTGCGTAGAGTCACGTTTTTAGTCCTGTGGGTGGGAGTGTTTCTGTGTGGTGTTCTGCTCACCTTATTCCTGAGCTCTACGGTCATCCTGTCAGAGTAGCAGACAGACGGGTGGTCCGGCTGGAAGCTGACCATGAGGTCCTGACTCTGTCCTGGAGCGATGCTGCCCTCTGCTGGCAGAACGCTGAACACACTCAGCCCGCTAAGGTTCTGAGTTCCTGCTCAGGATATAACAGAAGTGATGTAGTACTGTCATTTGTTATTATAAACAGTATTTTAAAAAGTAACAAACAAAGTATGACATTATAATAATAATAATAATAAGACAAGTATTTGTTTTGTGTTAAAAATGGCCAAAATAATAATATTCTATAAAAATACTATTTACTTTTTGGATAATTCAGGACTTTATTTATAATCTTGAGTATGTTAATACCATAATGTTTCTACTTTTACTTTGTTAAAGGATCTGAGTATTTATTGCAACCCTGGTTACAAGTGCTGCTTTTCAAATAAATTAAAACAAACATTGTAATTGAGATATCAAATGAGAACTCTTATTTTATTTTCTATTTCTGGCAGAAAACACATTTTGCTGGAAAGGTAGCCAAATGTTTGAGTCCTGGTTGGTTAAGGGGAACCAATAACATGTATATATTTTAGGATTGACCCATTATAAGATCTTTCTGGGTCTTTAAAAAAACTATTAAAATTACACTTAAAGGGGACCTATCATGCAAAATGCACTTTTGTACGTCCTTTATACATGAATATGTGTCCCCGGTGTTCCAGGGAACTCACCAAGTGTCAAAAAAACACAACCCTCTCTTTTCCTCCATACCCAAATCTCTAAAAACGGGGCTGCAACGGATCTGATACAGACTGATACAGATTTGAAAGTTCTCTGACGTCAGGAACGAGGAGCTCCGCCTATATGGCCAACTCTCCACCTATCAGGGGAATGTGTGGGGTTGGGCCACGGCCGGCCATTGCCGCTCGAAAGCGCTGGAGACGCGGTAGTACATATGCCAGGCCTGTAAGTTGCGCTGTAGTCTGCCACAAAAGCAGCGAAGAAGACTTCCCGCACATGGTTGCAATGGTTGCCCTTCTGTTTATTCTCCGCTGTGCCTCTTTTTCTCCCTGCCTGAGGCAAGCGTTTGCTCCTGCTGCTGTAATTCAATGCAATCCCTCCCCGTCGAGGCAAGCACTGTAATTCTCTCTGGTAGTAGTCCACCAGCAGATGACAAACACCCACCTTTCCGCCTCTTCCAAGGAACGAGGGGAACGTGCGGCAGAGTTTCAGTTCGATTTTTTTTCGCCGGTCAACATGTCCGTTAAAGTTTAAATCTTCCGGACAAAATTAGAAAAGTGCCGGTCAAAGGTCTTGTTATTTATTGAGTTTTAAAACAAATGAATAATAACTCTATATAATCAAATAAGAATAAAACACGGAGGACGGAGATCTCTTTTTCTCCCCCTCTTCTGACAGCCCAGCAGCTGATCTCAAAGCACGCTCCCCTCTCCTGCAGGGGGGCGTGGTCAGCTGCAGCTCATTTGCATTAAAGCTACGTCACAGAATCAGCCCCTGCAAAGACAGGGCTGGAAAGAGCAAATAGAGCGAAATGAGGCATGGCTAAAATGCAGGATCTGTTCGGTATTTTGAAAAAAAAACTATATTTATATACTTTATATAGGTATGGCCCTACAATATATTGTTCAAATATAGCATGATATGTCCACTTTAACACTGATCTGCCACTGCAATTTCCCATATTATATTTAGGAAGTATTTTCTGGTAAAGCGTCCAGAAAATGAATGACAGCTCAACCTATAGTGGATTTAGAATGATCTGAGAATGACATCTGGTCTCAGGTCACCTGTTGAATGGTGCAGCGTTAATATATCTTACCCACAGTAGGCTGGAGCTGAGAGCCTGAGTAACCCCTCAGCAGTGAGGCTACACCATCAGCTCCCCCCGGAGGCCTGGAGGGGCAGAGGCTGGCCAGCTGCACCCTGAAGACAACTGCCACCGCCGAGCTGTTCTGCATCTGCACGAAAAACAGGAATTAAAGACATGTCTCCTCAAAAGCATCAGGGTAATCAGTGCAGCCGAATCCAGTTACACAGTTCATTGTTTTAAAGGTCCAATATTATGAAGAAATTCACTTTTTCATGGCTTTTAAACATAAATATGTCCACAGTGTGTAAAGACATTCACAAAATGTTCAGAAAAAAACATACTCTATTGTACTTTTTGTATAATATATATACTTTGTCAATTATAGATGTGTTTGTAAGTATCAGCACCACCTGAAACTTCTCTACCTGGCGGCCATTGTGCTTTTTAGCCAACTGATTAGCTCCAAAATGTTAAAGGGAGAAAAACGCTGAGCTTTTGTTAGCTGGATGTGTGCTAATACCCTGGACGAGTCAGCACTGGAGCACTTCCTGTTGCCTTATGTTGAAGTCAATGGGTTATTAAATTAGTTTGGTGAGTGGATAAACTTAATATTTGACAAAAATGTGCCAAAAAGTAGAACATTTCTGAATGTGTGAACAAAACATTTTACCGTGACATGTTTGTTGGCCGGGGTCAGTGGACGACGACACTGCCTATTCCTTCAAAAAGAGGCTTAAGAATCGGGCGATAACAACTCTCTGTAACTACTGATACAAAAAGAATCTTGCTGTCAGCACTGTGTTGACTGACCTTCAGGACGTGCGAGGTGCTCTCCTTCTCCAGCACATAGCCAAGGTCCAGGAGACCTCCAGGGTGAGAGCAGGTGACAGCGGGGAGCACCCCCTCCCCACGAAGAGTCATCTCAAGGGTCATCTTCTGGCAACGCACCTCCAGAGTCTCACTGAACTGCAGAACAGTAGAAGGTTGTTAAATAACGTTGGAAAATCTAACAGCTAAAACTAATGAGGAAAAACAAGTACTGTGGGAAAAGTTTGAGGAAACAGCCAGCCGTCTGTGGTCAATTCAAATCCATGGTCAATGGAGAGCATATCAAACCAGTATAAGCTAACCTTTTTGGCTCCCTTCTTCTTTTAGGATTCATTTTCAAGTTGTTTTCATTGGTTTTAAAGGCTCTTAATAGTTTAGGACAGGGGTAGGAGTCACAATGCTTGCTTTGCTATTGCTTATTATTCTTATTATCATCTTTATTTCTGTTTACACCACTTTTAATTCTTATTGGTTATCACTTCCGGCAATTGTCACATGGGTGTGGTTGATTTGTATTTAGGTCACCTGTGGGAAGCCGGTTTTGTGTATGACGAAGAGGAGAGGGTGAATTGCTCTGACACTTTCTGTTGACCGTGTGTTTGGATATTGTTTGTTCTGTGTCTTTATTAAACACCATGAACTGACTATGGACTTTTGTACAGAACTAGTCACAGCGAAGAGCAAGTTTCAGCCTCTCAGCGGAGTAACTCATAGGGAGTTGTTGCTGCTAAAACAAGCCTTCGTTGCTAAATCGTTGTTTCATAATCATTACTGAAGCTTAGATCCTCTGCTGCTAGATTTAAAAGAAACAAATAATTAATTAATTAATTAAATTAAATCATTTAACATTTAACATTTTCAACTACAATTGTAAAACTTTTATTTATCATTGCTTTAACTTTCATTCTTCCTTCGTATTTATTATTATTTATGTTCTTTTACGTCATTTGTTTCATTTCTATTTTTAACATGTTCTTTTGCTTGGTTTTATTACAACGTTTTTATTTATTTTGCTTGATTCACTTTATTGTAAAGCATTTTGAACTATACGTCCGGTATAAAGAGAGCTATATAAATAACGTTTACATTTTTTTATTTTATTCTACACAGTTAACAGACCTTTTTCTCCAGAGATGGACTGAAGGCCAGCACCAGAGTGTGTGTTTCCCCAGGTCTGATGCATCTGAGAGCATTCAGGAGGGAAAAAGGACCATGGACATCCAGCACTGACGACCTCAGCTTGGAAACAGTCAAAGAAAACAGTGGCAAACAGTTCATATTATTTATATCATAATGTGTAGAGCAAAGTAGTATAGGGCCAGTTTAGGGTTAAGAAATACCAGCTTCATTCGACTATTAAGTCAGGACATACAAAGATGCCTTATCTATAGAATATTATAAAAGGTAAAACTATTTAGGATTCTTTACCTTTATTTAGTGTCATTTTCTAACTCAATTCAAGTAGTTGTTTATGCTTTTATTTTGAAGGCAGCTTTGAGCATTTTGTATTTATTGGAGAAAGGCAGCAGGGCAAGATAGGTAAACAGTTGTCATTTGACGTTTGGATCATTGAAATGAAATGCACAAAGGACATTGTTGGCTGGACATAGGACAATGCCTCAGCAGCAGTTTCAATTCAGAGTTCGTTTTTTTTGTTTTATTTAGTTTCCTGCTGCTGTACACATCAAGTGGGATTTTGTAACACTCTTTGCATTAGCCCTACAAAACATGACTCCTCCTTCTGTAGTAGTGTGTTAAAGGTTTAGTTTGATCAGGATACATCCAAAGATTCCTTTGAAATGTTCTGGACTGTAAACCTCTTGACCACTTTTTCTCCTGAGGACACAAGACACAAACAAAACACAAGGATAAGGATGAGAAAAATAAAATGTCTGTATGGTAGATGCACGTGTGAACACTTTAAATCACTCACCCACTGCCACCTGATGGAAGTCTATGCTCTTATGCCCGTTGTTGGATGTGACCACCAGAGGGGGCTGTACAGTGGGACACTGCAGCTGCAGGTAGAGCGTGTTGAAGGAGCTGGGGAGATATTAGCAGAGGTGGGAGAAGTACTCAGATCTTGTACTTGAGTCAAAGTATAAGTACCAGAGTGTAGGAATACTCTGTTACAAGAATAAGTCCTGCAATCAAAATGTTCCTCAAGTAAAAAGTATTGCCATCTAAATATACTTAAAGTACTCATTCTGCAGATTGGTCCATTTCAGAATAATATATATGATGTGTTTTATAATTATTGTTGCATTACGTGTTATCAAAGCTGGTACAGGTGCAGCTAGTTTGAATGACTTTGAATACTGCAGGGTAGATGGTGAATTTACTCCAGGTGGAACTAAAGTCTGAATTAATACTTGATTATATTTCACATTATTAATCCAAATCTGTAAAGTAATTAATACTAAAAGATATTAAGTAAATGTAGTGGAGTAAAAGAAAACCATTTACCTCTGAATTGTAGCGGAGTAAAAGTACAAAGTAGTATAAAATGAAAATACTCAAGTAAAGTGTGCTCATGCTAAAAACATTTTACCACGAATACTGATATACATTTTTTTTCTCTCTTGTGTGTACAGTATGACTTGGAAAGTTAGAGATAGCAAGTTAGGTAAGATAACTCTCCTGCCTTTATTTGGTTAAAATTGTACTCTTAGAATGTTAATACTCAGTTTGTAGTTAGAGAAATTAAAACTCACAAGGAAAAAACATGAATGCTTTTATTCCTAGTTCTTCTTTATTAAGCCTGTGTCTTTTTGTCCCAGATGGGTTTATGCATTCTTACGTTGGTTGCTGTATAGTAGCTTGGTATAGGCTTGGTAGAGATATGTTACTTTGGTCAAACAGCAGACCTTATTTACAGCATGAATCAAAATCTAAGGCAAACAAATGGTAGTGCAGGTAGAGAAAAGGAGTTTGTGGATTAAAATGGAGGTCTCATATTTAGGTTTTAGGATCAAAACTGATCTGTTCTGAATGAAAATCACCCAGCACTCGATGGAAACAGATATAAGATATTGCGAAACGAAATGTTTGCCAACAACACGACTACATTGTGACAGGGTCCACAGTGTGTCCACAGCTCTGTAGAAGCTGACTCAGCATTACCTCCACGCCGGCTGGGCCTGCAGATCTTCCTCCGGAGGATCCCCGTCCGACACGAAGCAGGAGACGGTGTGCTCGCTGTAGCGCTGGGTGAAGGAGTACAGCAGAGACGCCCTGGCCTCCTCAAAATGCTCTGACCTGGTAGGAAACAACTCTTTATTTCATCAAGTCTGCCAGTTCTGTTGAGATAATACTCTATATGGTGTGATCACTGCGAGTCAAAATAAATGGGAATACTGATGAAAGCGTTGGAAAAACAGGGAACGCTTTGTGTTTCAGGTTTGTTGTGAATTGGGTTCAGCCTTCTTCCCTGTGAAAGGAGCTTTCAAGGAGATGTATCCCGGATAACAATTTATTCTCTTTTGGCAGTACTACTCTTTGAAATTTGATTCATGAATATTTATTTATGAATATTTGCTTTGCTGGCCTTTCTGTCCAGAAAACTGGGTTTTTCAAGGTCAATTGTACAGACCCGTGCTACAGCGGTCCAAAACACTTACATTAGGGTAAACGCGCTGTACTTTCAAAAACGATGTAAATATCTAAACACAAATGTGGCAAATCACATGCAAATATAGAAGAAACATCGTCACAGAACATGCACAGCGTTTACTAAAAGCGCTGCATAAAAGAAACGCTGCAAACACTAAATACTGCAAATAGAAAATGCTCCAAGAAGCTCAAAACACAACGCAAACGGGGAAACTCAAAAGTGATGGGACTGGGATTAGAGCACTTGTTGACATTTGGGGATTATTCAATTGGTCAACAATCACGGTCACTGTTGGCACATGTTTGTAGTACACGTTTTATGATTGTAAATGTTTTGTTAGATAGCTTACAGAAAAACTGTTATACAAGTGGAAAGGAAACATGTAATCATAATATTGAAACAAGCCAATTAAAGGTACATTTAAGGTAGGCTTCCAGTGACACGACAGTTGGCCAACTTTATGATCCCCGAACGTCAACAAGCACTCCGGTCCCATCTGTGCGCATCACGTTTGCCCTTGTCAGCCACCGTACATTTGTGATACTAAGCAAGCAAGGTTGATGACATCAAGGGAATCAAAATATGTCTTTGTAGAAATAAAAACCCCTCCTACCCAGGCTGTATGTCGGCAGGTTCTGGTAATTCAGTTAGTAGTTCGGTCTGTGGAACGTCTGACACCTTACTGTTCTTTGGAATCACTGGGGCCTTCTTCCCTTTACTGGTCTCCACTGGGAGATCCTTTTTAGCCTTGAAACACACAAACACAGTAGCTGACGGGTTCATACTGAGGTTAGCTTCCACATTCTGTGTAAACACCAGCTTGTTCAGGAAAGTGACAAATAGAGTAAACTGGGCGAGAAGTGCTCACATGTAAAGCCCCTGACCCCACACCAGCAGGAGGTGACTGGAGCAGGTGTGTGTGTGTGTGTGTGTGTGTGTGTGTGTGTGTGTGTGTGTGTGTGTGTGTGTGTGTGTGTGTGTGTGTGTGTGTGTGTGTGTGTGTGTGTGTGTACCTCCAGTTCAGCTTGTCTGCTCCTCTCCAGCTCCTTCTCACGTAGCAGCTTGGCTCGGAGGAAGAGACGCAGCGCCTCCTCTCTGATGTCCTCGTCTAACAGTCTGGGTCTGAACGTCACCTGGATCAAGCATCTCTACGCGAGGAGAGATGGTGATATGACAAGTTTCTCACATTTAGAATATAAAGCTTCTTGACCAGTTTTCTTCCTCACTGAGGATTTTTATTTTAAGCCTGTTCTTCTTATAACTCAATTGAGGTTTAAATGAGTTTTGGGGAGTCTCCTGTTGTGGAATTTCTCTAGCGTGAAACGAGGAGGATAATCCCTGTTTTCCAATTGCAGACTATTTACTGGATTTCTCCCACTGGGCCACTGTTATTGGGTTGAAAAAAACCAAAATAGAATGCAATTATTTCCATAAACACAACATTCTTCCACTCTAGTGATGGAAACTTTTGAACTGTCGCAACCCAAAAACAATAAACTGAAATCTTAAAGGAGCCATGTCATGCTAATTTTCAGGTTCATATTTGTAATTTGTGCCTCTACTGTGACCTGTCTCCATGCTTTAATGTTCAAAAACCTCTTTATTTTCATTTCATTTCATTTCAAACCTTTATTTATCCAGGTGTATCCCATTGAGATCATTGATCTCTTTTTCAAGGGAGACCTGCTCAAGTTGGTTCCACATGAAACATAAAAAAACATAAACAGAACAACAAAAGCACATCATACAGCATCAAGTGAGTATTTTTCTCATACTGCCTGTGCTGCAGCACCTCTTTTCCCCCTCTGTCTAAAACCAGAGCACCAGAGCACTGTCTGCTCTTCCTACTACTACTGAAGTAAACAAAGGAGTTCAAGGGAGGCGTATCAGGCAGGGGGGGGGGGACTTTGGGATTTTAGCCTTTGCAGACCATTTACATGCACACAAACCTATATAACACACTCCAAAAAGCATAATAGGCCTCTTTAAACAGCAGCTGTGTAGATTTGCTCAGTTACTTCCAACACCTCTCCTCCACATTTTTGACAGGGGCTGACACCAAACTCTTTAAAGAGCTTCAAGCAAAGAGGTCAAAATGAAACATTTTATGGTCATTGTAAAAAAAAAATCTTTATTTTTCCAAAACGCCTATACTGAAATGAATCTTTGTCCAGGAAAGCCATTGATATTGTAGCACAATTAAAAACCACATGTTCACTTCTGTCAGATGTCCAGTAGAGTGCATCATCACACCATACAGGAATCTGTGAGCCAATGGCAGCTGTAATGGCAGTTTGTATCACTGTAGTTCTGTTGAAGTCAAACTGGAAACGTTCCTCATATATCCTGTAGATTATTACATGTTTTTGCCAGTCCCAGGTTTGGTGTCTTGTCTTTACATAGTAAAATTAGACATCACATTCAAAAGCTCAACTCCATTTTGATCTGATCTTATGTAGCCTACAGTTTGATTGCGGTTTTTTGGAAGCTAACGATTAAATGAAAAACACAACCTTTGGAGATCAGCAGGGACAGGATGGGGGGAAATTAATATTAGTACTAAAATATTCTTCAGCTGTCCCAAAAGTGCTAAAAACATGATAGTTTATAGAAGTTCTCACAGTCCATATTAAAGAGGCATTCCAGAAATGTAGTATTGCTCTTCCATGAACTCCAAGGAATCACAAGACATTTTAAAAGACTTGCAATTTAACAATTATTTATCAAATATAAATATTTAAATCTATTTTGTATTGGAGATTTTACTATAACTTCTTATGTTTTTATAAATATCTTTATTTGTACTTATTTTGTATTAGACATTTCCCTTTAACTTCGTATGCTTATGTCAATACATTTATTTTATTTTAACTTTTTATTGCAAATTCCATCTATATTATTTTTGTATCATTTTTTATTTTATTATTGTAATCTTTTATTTGTTTTATTCTAAAATTGCCAATTTCAATGAAACCCAATTTCCCCCGGCATAAATCAAGTATTTTGATTGTGTGTAAAATTGGTGACGTGCCCCTTTAATATCAAGGTAAACAATAGAGGTGTGTTACTCCACCTCTCCAGGCAGCAGGCGGCCCGCGCTGGGGGTGATGCTGAGGTCTGAAGGCTGGGGCAGGCTGAAGGAGAACAGTCTGGGGGGAGCCATGGTGTCCTTGGTTACTGGAGGGGCTGGTTGTTGGTTCTGGTGATTGATGGTTTGATGGTTGGTTTGATGGTTGGTCAGGTAGAGCATGGCAGTGGAGCGGTCCCCTACTGCTGTGGCCCCAAACTGCACCAGAGAGTGGGAGAGCTGCAACGGAGGGCGGACCCCCACTGCCTGGCAAGTGAGGGGGAAATCTCTGGTGATAAAGACAATAAGAGATATAGATCAAACATATTGAATAAGCTGAACTGAATCATATCCATCAACTGATGCCATCAGGGACATATTGGTCTATAAATCATCAGATCCATCTATGATATCAAATCAATCAGAATACTTGATTTACAATAAAAAAAATCAAATAAACCAAAGATAAACAACTTTTAATATAAAAATGATTATATTCATATAAGAAGTTATAGTAAAATGTCAAATAAAATATGTAATAAAATAGAATAAAATATTAACAAAACAAAAAAATGTGCAATAAAACTGAAAATGTAATTAATATATTTCTAAAAACATAAGAAGTTATAATAAAATGTACAATAAAATATAAAATAAAAATAAATACAATAACAAATATTTGTATAAACATAAGAAGTTCAAGTAAAACTCGGCACATTGAACTACAATACATAACATGCATAAAACAATACACAGTGGTGCTAGCACAGTGTTAGATTGAAAGGTAACCTGTTTATTCCTGATTTGCAGTGGAGCTGGAAGCTGTACTCCTTGGCCTTGTTGGCGCTGAAGATCAGATCAACCTCCAGAGTCTCTTGTGGGAGCAGAGTGCCGAAGCCATCGTTGGGCTGGACCTCCATGAACTGCATTGCAAAGAAGAGAAACCTACAGAATTACTGTCATGACATTAACGTTTTTTGAGTAAATCAAACCCTCTATTTTGGGATCCTTTCAATGTAATTACATTCAGTAGTTATCTCTCTATTGACTGTTTGCATTGAATAGATCAAATATATCGACCAATTTAGTATTTTAACTTCCTGTTTGCATTGGAAGTGGGAATGTGTCCATGTGTGGCTTTACATCTACTTCTTCTGCCTACACTTTAGCAAATATCTGGGGAGTTTATATACTATAACATAGAGCCGTAATAACTGCCAGAGCCAGTTAAAGCCGGATGAAATTAAAGACAACAACTGGCAGCTATTTTTATTGCACCCCTTATTAGATTAGTGCCATTAACACAGCAATAAAAGCAGAAGTCTAGGAAAACACTGGAAAATTAACATTCTAAAATTGGGTCGGCAGTTTAAGGATTGTGGTGTTTTTTTGTTGGTAATGTCTGAGTACACCATTCCCAGGTAATCAAGTTGATTCAATCTCATTAATACTGTTTACTATCCACTCTTTCAAATGAATCAGATCTGTACCAGGTTATAGCTCACAGTGCTGCTGCTTCATATTCCAAATATCCAACTGTTTTATTTTTACCAAAGCAGCTCCTCGACGAGCGTTTGCTGTAGTGCTGAACTGCATTTGCTGTTTCCACGGTAACCACAGAGGTTGCCAAATCAACCAGGAATGAAATCTAAAGGATTTGCAACTTTAAAGGTTGAACAAAAAGAGCAAATCTAAAAAATAAATGAATAGGAGAGCTGTGAAAGCAAGAGTAAGGAGGAATTTCCAACAGTGAATAGATATTTATTGAATAACTAAATATGAGTCTCCTCAGCACCTGACATCATGAAGTAATCAGTTCTTAGCAAAATATTGGTTTATACTTAATTGATTTGAACAGTCAGTTGTGTCAACACTGTCAGATGAAGTTTTTTTCTTTTTTTGTCATTCTTTTAAAGAAACATGTGTTGTTATTGTGTTTATATATTATAACACCACATGAACTACATGTCATATTTATTTTTTAAATGAAGAACACTGATTATTTATACTTAATATTTAAAGTTAATGTACAAAATAAAGGTATTTCAAAACTGGGTTTTTCAAAATGGTGTGAATTCACAAAGAAATCTATGAAATGAATCTATTTCTTATTAATAAACCCTAATATGACGTACTTGAGGACTTTGAACTATTGTTGAATTGATTAAATGAAACCATGACCTTTATATATATATTATTTAAAATAAGTGTATAAGTATTTAAAAAAAAAAAGAATATGACCGAATGCTTGTTTTGTCCCTTATCTCAAGAATCAGTGGAAAAAGAAGACATTAGATTTAGTGAGTTTCCTATGGCATGGATCCAAGTGACTGTACATCAAAAGTACAGTAATATTAAACACAAGCCTATCGCAGTACTACAAATTGAAAAGAGAGAAGCTCTTGAGCAGTGTGCCGTACGTCTGGAACGCCCAAAAAGCCAAAGTCCTGGGGCAGCAGGGAGGTGTTGGTGAGGCGGACGCTGCTCCTCACCGACTGGTTAACGGAGCAGAAGCCAAAGTCCACCTGGGCCCGGTCAAAGAGCAGCTCTGAGCAGGTCACCACGGCCTGCATGGTGAAAGGGACCGGCTTCACCTGAACGCACACACGTAAAGCAGCTTTACAGATCTTGGGATGTTTTTCTTCAATGAATAATCAACAAAGAGGATCAGTTCCCTTTATACATGTTACAACACCGCATTAATTTCTCTTTACTTCATTCTAATTTCATAATAATGTAATGAACATAAATCATCCACAACTTTAAGCGGCAACATAGCCACAGTCCTCTTTAGCTCCATGTCGTGCTACATTCTAAGCCCACCCACTTTTAACAGTCCAATCATTTGCGCATGATTTGATTCAAATCCCTCTTGTTACTGTACACTGCTCAGATATTTGTTACACTGGGACTGGGAAAAAAGTCTCCCAGTGCGACAGGGTGGCCAAGCCCCCAGGAAGTTAGTTGGGCATTGAAGCAAATTTGTGTAGTGGCCAAACCGTGGTACTTCAACTTCCATGTCAGTCGTGTGACGTCATTGGGCCCTAAAAATACTTTTTACCATAGTGAGGCGAAGTCCCTCCCCTTCCGGGGGAGCTTCATGGGACCTTATTTCGGAAAAAGTATGTATTGAAGTCAATGGCGAGAGAAAGATTATCTTTCGATCCTGTTTGAATTGTGCAACGAATTACACATATGATGTTTGTCAATTTAAAAGATAATTTTGCCAGTCAAAACTATTTAAATGTGTCGTAAAACTATGAAGTAACACTTTTTTTTGTGTGAAACCGCTCAGTGAACTACATCTCCTGCCTCGCACCACACACCAAGACGGCCGTCACGTAAGCACATTTCACTTCTTTCTTTCAGAATGAGGCGAACAGTATTAAAAGAGGTGAAAATCACTACAAGTCTGGCCATGTTGAGAGCTGTACATACAGTACACACAAGGGGAGTTAGTCGGTTCCGTAAGAGCCAGCATGCGGGACCGGGATTCTGGGATTTGTAGTCTTTCTAGTTGTGTATTTTTCATAGTCTCATATTTCAACAGTTTTACAAGTGACTGACTTTTTTGACATGGAAATTATTTTTTAAGATTGACAAACATCATATGTGTAATTCATGGCACAATTCAAACGGGATCGAAAGATAATCTTTCTCTCCCCATTGACTTCAATAAATAATTTTTCCGAAATAAGGTTCCATGGGTCGGAAGTAATGGGGCGGATTTCGCCTCTCTGTAGACTTACATTGGGAAATAGACGTCTGTAAATCAGCTACTACTATACTTACTATATATACTTTTTGGGATGTAAATAAACTACCCAATAAGAACACTTTAATAGCCCTAATATAAATAAGTGATTCTTGACTGAACCCACATTTTTGTATCTTCATTCAGGCCATTTTTGGCTCCATGAGGCACTGAGTAATTGTCAACGCTGCACCCAGTTGTATTAATACATCCATGATTGTGGCTCATTCTGTGCTTAGAAAATAGTTCCTCGACACTAAATAAGGCTAGGCTCAAAGATTATTGAAGATAAATCAATAATGGATGCACTGTCAATATAGGTTGGTATCAAATAATTGGTTTTGGTCTTTTTATGGGATTGATTGGCAATATGAAAATATATTGTATTATCAGCCTTTTCCTTTAACAATTCTTTATGTATGAGCAGCACTACTTTTGAAAACTAAGTAATCTTGGGAGCTGTGTTTTTTTACTCAAGATCACGTCTTCCTGGATCATGTCAACAGATGAACTTGTTTATAGCTCTCTGCATCATTGCTGTCCTGGCTGTTCTGGTGTCTGGTGACCATACGACAGCGTGTGTGTTTGTGTGTGTGTGTTGGTCTAATGCCAGGGGCTCAGGGTCTAGGGCGGAGGGCAACAGCTTTGGTGCTCCACATGAGCATCCTGGCCCAGTCTTTGGCTCTGCTTCCCCCCCACAATCCTCTCCTCTCAGGAAGACTTGGAATATGGGCTGGATGGGGGGGAAGGTGACGATCTGGCAAGAAGACCAACCAGATTTAGATTAGCTGAGAAAGAGGACTGGCATCGATGCAACACCAATGTTTAAGCAGCTGCTCCGTGTTTTTGAATAAAGGCTGCTGCTGACGAGCTGAAGGAATTCAGTCGCTAGGAGATATTTATTTTGCGCTTCAAGGACTTCTGGGTTTATATATTTCCAAATGCAAGTTTGTTTTGAAAAAAGGATGTGTTAAGAGATGTATGCCTCTTGAGGGAAACGATTTATGTTGTCTGACACAGATTGGAAAACGGTCTCCCCGACAGTGTTTGTTGCACAATAATGCCCCGTTTAACAACAAATTCATGATGTGGACCGTTCTAAAGACACAGCTCTGAGACCACTCAACATTTTTCTTAAATCTCAATCTCTACATGTATGGCAGCCATTCCATTCCAGTGTCAGATATATTTTGTCAGTAGTTTATGGAATACAATTTAAAAAAAATCAATTTACACAACTCATACCCATAGATAATTTTGCAATGGTCTCTTAATTTCTTTCAGAGCTGTATATTGTAATAGGTTCATCGCATTAAGACACACCTATTATATGTGATTATTGAAAACTAATTAGGAATAAACTGATTCCAGATTGAGCATCTACATGTGTTAGTCCTCACTGAGTGCAAACAAATAAATAAAGCCTAGATCAGATATTATCAAGCCCTAGGTATCAAAAAAAGTTTGCGCAGCCATTGGAAAGCTGCAAAAAAGCATTTAAAGTGGCCACATTATGGTCATTTTCAGGTTCATATTTGTATTTAATGTCTCTACAGTGACATGTCTCCATGCTTTAATGTTCAAAAAGCTCTTTATTTTCCTCATACTGCCTGTGCTGCAGCACCTCTTTTCACCCTCCGTCGGAAACCAGAGCCCAGTCTGCTCTGATTGGTTAGCTGACTGACTCTGTTGTGATTGGTCAACCGCTTAGAGATGTCCCAGCCCTTAGCCTATTGGAGCGCTAGCCAATAGGAGTGCGAGTGTGACATAGTGATGTCATTATGTTATGGAAGTAAACAAAGGAGTCCAATGGAGGCGTTGACGAAGGGGTGGAGTGTGTGGGAGAAAACCCAGCTTAGATCAGTTCACTTTCAGATTCTTGGACAGTTTTATTTATTTTTCTAACAATGAACCATTCTGAATTCCACTCTGATTGACTTCTTCTCCAGAGCAATAACTGTTTACCTCAGTAATAAGAGCCATTTGCCAGGACCAAACATGATTTATTGGCAATAAAGTTGATATAATTGAAATTGATGACCAGGACAGATGCCTACATTAAGCTGACATTCATCCATCTGCTGCCTGCTGTGTCTCAGCAGTTTGTTGAGAAACATCGTCAAGAAAAATGATTGCATTTGTTTCTGAAAAGTGTTTTTTTCTGTTACTTTAGTATGACGGATGGCGCTGAATAATACAACAGCCTCAGGTGCTGCTGATGAGGGGGGAAAGCCAGAGCAGAGATGTGAATCACAGCTTTTTCGTTGCATTTGGCAATAAGACACGGGGGAATGTTTTTCTCAAAATGTGCCCAAAATTAACCCAGAATAAATATATACATAATATAAATGTGAACCCATTTCAGCTGCACATTGTTTTTAAAAAGTGTCATCTCCAAGGCAGGTAATTAAATTGTTCCTGACAACAATGTAACATAGATGACTTACCAATTTACATGTTGTATCCACATAGGCTTGTACCTTTTTAAGAGTTTATTAAAAATCACTTTGTTTTTATTCTGTAAGCCACAAGCATTACCACATGTTAAAAGGCATGAGATTTAACAAAAGTAACCACAACAAAAATGTAATACATGCCAAAAATGGCCAGATAATATGTACGCAATGGAATAAGAAGAAAACACACACTCTGTTCCCTTTTGAGCTTTGAGAGACATTTTCAGTGAAACCATATGGGGCAACCTTTATGCTCGGCTTATTAGCACCCATAGAGTAACTGGGCCTTGGGGGTATGAGAAAATTTTAGCTTGTTACCAGCAAAATGGGTTACAACCTTCAGCCGCTCTGCCTCTATTAGAAACAAAGTAGGACATAAGCCCTTTATTTTGCACAATAAGAAAGATGTTTTCAGATAAAAAGGGAGGTTAACTGTAAAATACACTGCGTGTGTTTTATGTTACAAACCTGGCCTGCTACTAGCACTGTTAGCGGAACCTCTAGGACTCCTGTATCTTCGTCAAAAAGCTCCATGGCATCTTTGGATAAGGAGATCCTGTGAGAGAGTGATACAACATGCAGGTACACTGTGAGGACACATGCTATCATGCACAAAATCTCATCATGAACTGAATAAAGCAGAGACCCCAATACAGTGGTGCAGTGACGACGTATTTCTGTAGGCCGACCCGGAACTGAGCATTACAAGCGCTCCCTCTACTAAAGCAATAATCCAGTGGATTTTTGAATAATGCAGACAAATAAGCTTTGTGGCAACCAAACCTTTATGCTATTTACATGTTTTGATCATCAGGATAATCTTGACATATTTACACCACTTGAGTAGTTTTTGAAGCGAAATGCCTGAAGAAAATTGCGTAAAACTAACTACATCACAGTTGCATGACCTCACCTTAAGACATCCAAGCTAAAATCTGACTTGTTTTTGGTGTTTGCATAAGAGGGACTATTGACTTATGGAATAGACAAGCTAATTGTGTTGCTAGGAGTCAGACAGAATATCTGGAGATATTGGGATTTACGAAAACATGGCCGCACCCGGATATATCTGACAACATTATTTCCATTGATTGCTTCCTGACAGTTCGGGCAATGTTTCCATCAACAACGTTTCCAACTTTTCTTTTGATGGTTTCCAGACTGTTTGGGAAGACACTGAGTTCCATTGGCTACACTGAATTTTATTGCACGTTTTTATTTAAAACTATGTTTGTTTACATATTCAATTATTTCATTCTAATATGGTGCAACCCTACTTAATTTCCCCCTTGGGTTAATAAAGTATTTTTGATTGATTCAAGTATTTTATGTCGTAGAACAAACATAAAAATCGTATGAGCTTGTATTAACCTCAGATCTTATTTCAGGCATCTAACCAATAACACATACAAAAAAAACGTTGACCTGGAGACAAGGGAACTAGAAGTGGTAATATGCCAAATAATTTTCAGATTTAAGGACTCATTCCGGCACCACCCCCTTAATAAAAAACATTTGGTGGAGCTTTTCAAAGAAAGACAAAGATTCAGACCCATTACTTTAACCCACGACTGTGGGATCGGCTCACCAGGGAAAGCATGGGAGAGATGTAGAGCGCGCCTCCACACTACAGTAGGTTGTAGCCATGGTGATGGGAGACGTAAGTATGATTCAAAGAGGCCCAGCAGTCAGGCGTATGTAAAACTCCAGTCCTTCTACATAACATGTACTATATATACACTGCATATATGTAAGTGTGTAGAGTTCATTAGCATGTAAACAGTGGTCGAATGTCAAATGCAGTTGGTGGTTCAGATCCACCCCCGCCTCTCACTTCCTCTCTTCTATTTTTTTCTTTTCCCTTTTCTGTTTTTCTCCTATCAACTGTCTTCCCTGTCTCTAGCTTTTTAATGCTGGAGAGCTAATGCCCTAAATGTCAGTGGTTTTAAGGCTCTCCAGATGTCAGCTTTTTTTTTTTTTTCAAAGTGCTACAACCTCGCCTCCGACAAATCTGTCAGCTTCAGGTTGGAGGGCAGGCTTTTATTTCCTCCTGTGTCAGCTGCAGCTGCTGTAAACATTCCCTACTACACCCTTCATGACTCAACGCTAGAAAAAAGGTTGCTTCCTCGTAGAATTTAATCCCCTTCATTTACAAAGGGGACTAATGAAAATAAGTATTTTCCCTCCCCTTCATTGACCAACAGGGACTGTATTTAAGGAAGCACTCTTGTTCTGCCTGTAAATAGACTCGCTGCTGGGGAGTCACTCTTGAATTAGCTTGGCAGGGCAGAGTGGAAAAGTGCGGTGGGAAGTCGCCAGGCCCATATGCCCGGGAGAACTTTGCGGACGGATGGAGTTTTAGATTTGACACTGTCCTGCAGATTTACTTTATCTATGACCAGATTATCCACAGCCTCATCGACAAGTAATTCTCCTTTATAGTCTTTAATGATACTACTGAGATCAGCTAAGGACACGGTCAAGTTGAAATACTTCGAACTGTGGGTACTACTAAGAAATCTTGAGTGGGAATCATCGAGGGATTTGACCTAGAGCTATTGAAATAACTGGTTAGAACATTATCTTTCTGTCGATTACTAAAAAACGTTGGATGTGAAACAAAAGATAATTATGACCATCATGATAATTATCACCAAAGGCTGATCATTTTAGCATCTGATTTGAGGAAACTGGGTATTTGTACCTTTTGCCTGATGGTAACTTATACAACATATTTGAAATATAAATTCCTTTTCAATATAGACGCCTGCTCTGATTCCACTTCACCATTAAAAAAAAGTGATGATGAAACGGATTACAAAACAGATTAAGAGGTTTAGGGATTGACCGCTATGCGGAAATGCACGGACAAAATATACAGTAAATGACTGTAAAACAATTTGAAAGTGTTAACCACACAGGTTGTTTTGTTAATTTGTTTTCCTGGAACTCATGGATTAATTAAAGTTTCCATTTGTTGGTGTGACTGATGAACTATTAGTGAAATCACTGGTGGAGCCGCTTGTTGTAATCTGTAGTAAATCATCCGTGTAATCTCCCTTTTATCAGACGGGGCGGGACACATTGCCAAGGCTCTCCAGGGATTACACACATCGTTCTACCCATCGTAGTCAAATGATCTTGTCATCAGTTTAAAATGTACTTTACAATAAATTCTCTACATGCCGACACACTCTTTCCCTTGACCTCCTTACATAAATTATAATTGCTTTCAAATAACTAAACCATGTCTTTTCTTTCACAGTTTTAGGTTGAAGCACGCCAGGTCACATGGATGTGGTGATGTGACATGATGTCTGTTCTGAATTCTGCCTATCCCAGTTGGAGACACAACTAATCAATGAGAGCTCTGTAGCCGGGATTAAAAATGGGATCATCATATTTTCATATGGCTCATAGCCATGAAAAAATTCCAGAAAAACAATTGATATAACTGTAAAGGATATTGTAAGATGTTTTGAAGTAGTGTTTTTGAGGGACTTATCTATAGTCGGTGTATTTATACAGCACTTGGCGATTGGCAAGCCCCCAGTTTGGAGAAACAGACAGGAAGTACAGTCACTGAGCAAAGCAGTATACAGCTGAGGGCAGTCAAATAATTAAGCTAATCTAAAAAAATGTCTATCTAAGAAAACTGAATATCTGTGTCAAGAACAGCATTTCTAGAATATTTCCGCTACTTTACCACGCAGTCAGCTTTCCTTTCATATGGGTGACTAAAGGTGTTATCCATCATCTCTTTAAAGGCACCAGACTGGACAAAACAAATGATTGAAGAAAATATGTATTTTGACCTTGTAGAACACAAGAGATGCTGGAAACAGCAGCGACCACAAACTATTTTGTTTTGGGAGCTAAAATAAGAGTTGTTGTCAAATATAAAGTGTTACAAATATTTGAAAAAAATATCGTAAGCTTGAAGTGATATCGACTTTTCAAGGTTGGCCATGTTTTTGAAGGTAAAAATATGGTTTGCTTCTGCACCCATGAAAAGTAGTTAATTGCTTTTCTTTGAGGTTGTAGCTCCTGTCGGTTTATCCCAAAAAGGGGCGTAACTATGGAAACAGATGTCATACAACCCCACCTGAAACACTTCAAAATATCCCTTTAAAACTCCATATTTTGTCAGTTATACTGAAACACTCCAAGGAACAAGCAATGTGAATCGTATGTGAATGACAAAAATAACCCCTTCTCCCAAACATTAATTGGTTACACAATTTCATGTTTTCTGTTTCCTTCTGAATTCCTCTTAGCTGAACAAGATCGCAAACAGTGTATAGAACAATGCATTGGATATGTGAGAGGAACATGTGGGTTGCATGGTGACAAATAAAAGTGGAGGAAGGCAGGCAGAGAGGGATGAAGCAAAGGAAAGACATTGACGGATGTGGGCAGGTTGAGCACAATCCTCCAGAGCAGGAAGCGAGAATGTGCTGCTCACCCTCTCCCTAAAGCCCGAGAAGGGGAGGCAAGAAGCAAGCACCTGAGTAAAGAATGAAAGCTATGAGTCATTTGGAATCCAGATTTAACTGTGTATGAGTATGTGTGGAGGAGACAGTGAGTGAAGGCAGTGCTGCTAATGAGGATTTAGAAATCCAATCAGGCTCTGGGTAGGAAAACATTGGCAGTGCCTTTTTAATGACACACCACCAGTGAATAAAACAAAAGCCAATCTGCCAAAAATGTGACGGATTAGAAGGCGAGATCCAACCATGACGGAGGCAAAATAGGAACACAATGTCAGACTAAATTACAGGAGTGGAAAAAGATTACAAATATTTAACTCAAATTAGTTAAACCACACTGTAAACATCCTGCACTTAAAATGGTATTTAAGTTAGTATAAATACGTAAATATAATCAGCAAAATATACTTTAAATATTAAACATAAGACTAACAAATGCAAAACAAATCATAAAAAAACACCTTAAAGGGGCACTAGTATGGTTTTTGAGGTTTTCCCTTTCCTGTAGTGCAGTGGTTCTCAAACTTTTTCTGTCAGGCCCCCCTTTTGAGGAAGAACATTTTTCAGGCCCCCCCACCCCGACAAACTGGTGACAAAATAGGCTGTTTTTAACTTTATTGATACAGCATCAAAAAAAGAACATTCGTCTCACGTGTTTTAGTCATTTCGGTTGTGCAAATAACAACTGTTGTGCAAATAATATTTAACACTGCACTACACACCACCTTTTGTAACATCAAAATTAACATTAGTTTTTTATCATCAACATTCCTTTCTTAATTTCTTTTCTTAACATGAACATTCACTTCACTTCTCTTAGTCATGTATGTTGTGCAAATAACTAACTTTAGCAAACCCACTTTGATATCAAAAACATGAACATTACTTTTTTTAACATGAACATTCATTTCACTATGTATGTTGTGCAAATAACTAACTTTAGCAAACCATTTGATATCCAAAATCATAAACATTACTTTTTAACATGAACATTCCTTTCCCTTTTCTGTTGTGCAAATAACTATTTAGCAAATCACTTTTGTGACATCAAAAATGATGATTTCGTTTCACTTTGCAAGAACAAAAACAATTGAGTTAAATGTGTAGGAAAAAAGAACAAATGCAGATATTGGACAAGTGTTGTGAGGGCAGTTTGTGAGAGTTAGTGTATTAGTGGCTTGCAATGAGCCTGTTTTTTCACTGCACATCATCTCAAACGGGGTTTGCAGGCTTGATACGGCCACTCGCAGGTCAGGCTCAATGTGGAGCCTAGCTCTGTACTTTGTTTTCAGTGTGGCAACAGCTGAAAAGCCTATCTCACAGAGATAAGATGTGGCGAAAGGAAGCAGAATTCCCACAGCCCTCTGTCCAATGAGTGGATGCTTCCCTCTCACACACACAGCCAGAATTCAGTCAGTGTCTGAGCTGTAAACCGCATCCTCAGGGTGGAGTCTGACGTCATCTCGATGAACTGTTCCTCTTCAGGCAGAGCTGAAATCAGCAGGTGCCTGCTGCGTTAAAAGGATCTCTCACCCAGTCATACTGTGCGCTGTTGTTTGGGAAGTACTTTTGAAAGTATCCTCTCAGGGAAGAGATATGCTCCTGAAGACATGGAATCATGGTGTTTTGCTCCAGAATCACTTTGTTTCAGCAAATTCAGTCAGATTCTCAAAGCACTCTGTGTTTCCCTGATCAAGTCGCCTGCCCCACATCTCGAGCTTACGAGTGGAATGCGCCTGATCTTTTATCTGCCAGGTGAGGGAGGTGCTTGTCTCTGCCTTGGGAGCTGAATATTTAATTCATTCAGCTTTTCCAAAGATATCGCTGAGAATAGGCCAGTTTCATCAGAAAGTGTTCATCACCGGAATTTGCTCGCGCAGCCTCATACATTTTCTCCTCCTCCAAAAACATCCCGGATTTCCTCTCTGAGCTTCGTAGACGCGCGACAGCACTTTCCCACGGGATAACCACCTGGCCTCGCGTGTGAAACAGCACAGCTGTATGTTGCGCACCATCTCCTCCACACAATGCAGAGAACAGCCGCGCCTTTCAGGGGTCTAGTTTTTATGAATTTGACCGCACCAACAGTATCAGTCATCACCTCGTTCAGTTCAGGGCTCATCTGCCTGGGATGCGAGCGCTTCCCCTGTGTATTACGCAGTGCGTCCATTGCGCCATTTTGGCGAGGCACGCTTGATTAGGTGCCCTGTGCAATCCCTTTTTTATTTCCTGGCCATGGGTCTTGGTGCGCCATCCGTGCAAACGCCCACACAGTTTTCCCATTTCAGCCCATTTTTCTGTCAGGTAACAGTCAATAAGTTTGAAGAGCTCATCAGCTGTCGCTCTGCTTTGGACCATACTTGCAAAACAGTAACTCCCTCATATAGTGACTCAGACGTGACAAAGCGAACATAAGCAATAAACAAGCAGTCTTTATTGCTGTCGGTAGCCTCATCCATTCTTCTAGGCGAAACGTTTGTCTTTCATTTTTTTCGATTAGTTGTTTTTTTCAAGATCATCAGAAATGTCGCTTATACGTCTTGCAACTGTGGTCATTGGAAAGAGGATGGCCTTTAATTTTTCTGCGCTTTTCTCATCAAGCATTGGTTGACACCATATCTAAAGCTGCGGGAGTATGAGCTCCTCTGCTATGGTGTGTGTGGTCTTGCTCATGTGCAATTCTGTTATGCAACTTTGGTAGGAATGCTGAAAGTGCTTTGCTGTTCACCTGTTTTGCAGTTTTTTACAAAAGTATGTTCCCGCTGACGGTATTCGCCGAGTTTCTCTGAAAAACTCGAGTGGCTTGCTTAACGTGGCTGGGTGTGATGTCTCCAAGTTGTCTTTTTTAATTTGTTGGTTTCATACTGTCAGCTGCCAGAGTCTCTCAGACATAAACACACCACTGCGTCGCTCCCTCATCTCCCGCCACCTTCTACCAGCATCTGCACAATTGCCACGGTAAACCACTAGAGCAAAAGGATAGGCGCCTCCATATCGATATGTTTTAGGTTATACTTATGAGGCTCTTTTTGGATGCTTTATTATCCGTCAGCCTGGCCTCACATATGTCTCGTTTTGTTTTCAGAAGCATTGCAAATGTATTTTCTTGTTCGTCGCATGTCGCTCAAGATATTTCTCACATCCCTGTAGCACACCTGAATCTGACGTCTTTATTGAAGAAATCAATCCAATGCCACATGTAAGCGACATCCTGATGCTGAAACACCACGAATCGTATAATTGAATACACCGCGGGTCTTACATAAAAAACGACAGCAATATAGTCTGAGCTTGTGGATGTTACGCTTTTGTTCCACGGCCTGGAGTCACTATAGGAGAGCTCGGCGCTGGCAAGTTATGCGCCAAAGCCAGAGCGACAGCGGATGAGCTCGGCCCCCACACTTTGACTGTAACCTGACCAGAAAGCGTGTAACATGGTAGTACATGTGGGCCGTTGCAACCGAGGGCTAGATGTGGCTCAGGAATAAAAAGGATGCACATCAAGAGGCTGCCAAATGAGCTATGTACAACTGCGGAATACACGAGTTAAGTGCGGTACCTCAGCTCAGCTCTCAAGCTGCCTGAACACACTGCTGAATCGCAAGAAGCGTTGTTAATTAAGGTCCGCCGGTAACTTAGAGAGATATTTCTTTAGGTTATGTTAAGGTTGATCGACTCGTATTGCATCGTAAAGGTTAAATTTAAATGGCTATGCTAGTCACTGTAGGACAAGCTAATGTCGAAGTAGTGGTAGTGTGAAACTCAACTCACATAAGGATTGTCGATATTACCAATCATTAATGTCCCATATTGAGAACTGATTAATTAGAATATTCCATAATGGTTGCGCGGTTGAGTGAGACCTGGAGTCTCATCCTATTCGCGAGCTCTACCCGTTAACGCACGTCCATATCTGAAGCAACGAACCCAAATCCTTGTTGGTTTTTATTAATTGCATTNTCGCTGGGCAGCACAGTGCAGCATACTGAGACCATCCTAACACACACACACACACACACACACACACACACACACACGTAGATATCACATCTCATAGTTCTGGTGAACTATGAGATGTGATATCTACGTGTGTGTGTGTGTGTGTGTGTGTGTGTGTGTGTGTGTTAGGATGGTCTCAGTATGCTGCACTGTGCTGCCCAGCGAGGCCACATCAAAGTATTGGAGTTCATCATGGAGGACCTTGAGGACATCCGGCTGGACCGAGTTGACAAGGTGAATCCTGACGCAATTTTAAAGAGGCCCTATTCTGCTTTGGGGTGTTCCCTCTCCTGTAGTGTGTTCTATATGTTTTGGTGCATGTAAATTGTTTGTAAAGGTTAAATCCATGTGCTCCATCACTATATAACACTTGCGCTTCTATAAGCTAGCGCTCCAACGCATTGCATGTGATACGCTAAGGGCCGGGACGTCTCCAAGCGGTTGACCAATCACAACAGAATAAACCAGCTAACCAATCAGCAGACTAGGCTCTCTGATTTTCTGAAACAGGAAATATTAAATGTCTCCGTCCCATCTTTCTTTCCATTTACTATGACTAATAGTTTGTTGTCAGAATATCAGCAATAAATGAAGGTGAGTGGAACATAACCCTTATATTTAAAGGGGACCTATCATGCAAAATGCACTTTTGTACGTCTTTTATACATGAATATGTGTCCCCGGTGTGTCAGGGAACTCACCAAGTGTCAGAAAACACAACCCTCTCTCTTTTCCTCCATACCCAAATCTCTAAAAACGGGGCTGCAACGGATCTGATACAGACTGATACAGATTGATACAGATTTGAAAATAGTCTGACGTCAGTGACGAGGAGCTCCGCCTATATGGCCAACTCTCCACCAATCAGGGGAATTGGGGTTGAGGGGTTGTCGTGGCATGGTAACAGCATGGTAACATGACGCTCGTAACTCGGCCCCCTCCTTTGCAGGGGGGCGTGGTCAGCTGCAGCGCATGCAAAGACGGGGGTAGGAGAGCAAAATAGAGCGAAATGAGGCATGGCTAAAATGCATGATCTGTTTGGTATTTTGAAAAATAAAACGTATAAATATACCTTGTATAGGTATGGCCCTACAATAAATTATTCAAATATAGCATGATAGGTCTCCTTTAAACACTGTGTGTATACACTATATGTTTTTATAATATCTGTCTCTCATCAGTCAGGGAAGACTGCGCTTCACCTGGCAGCTGAACATGGCCAATTTGAGGTGGTGGAGTTTCTGATTGGAATGGGCCGCACACATGGTCTGAAGGACAAGGTATAGTAACACACACGCACGCATTAAGTCATTAATTATACCAAGCCTGTCACCATAACTACTTTTGTTAGGATTTCATTGTCCCATAAGTAATTACGATAATATTATTATATATATTATTGTCATTTTTAAACTATTTAATGCAAATGTTATAATGATCAAATAAAAGCATAGTAATTCAATGTCCCCCTTACAGAGAGCAGCACACTCTTAAGAATGGTGAGACATTTGAAATTGGGATGTCAAAAACATATTGAAGTATCCAAAATAGTAAATAAAACATGAATAAAATGAGTCCACACAACCAAACAGTAAATGAAATGGCTCTCGGTATATGCTTTTAATGTAAGTGTAATAGAGGTGCACAAAAATAATCTTGGTCATGTCCATATTTGATGGAAAAGTGGAGAAGGTAATTTATTTGTTGTCTAATTGTACTTAAACAAAGGCTAACACTGTTCAATCGTTAAGAGATCCAATATTTATTTGTTGGGTTTCCAAAACCGCACCTCAGCTAATCTAAAGTGAGCTGGAGTGCATCCATCATTCATGATTTAAAGGCTTCTTTAAACAAACCGCATACAGCAGGATGTGTTCTGACGTCATATCCTGTTTATACTGCCAGCTTCATGATCCTGTTTGCTCCAGCAGCTTTAAGTATCCCAATGCCAGTCTTCACTGAGGAGCTGAGTGAGAGAGAAACGCCACGGTCACTAGTGACGTGTACTGTGTAGCACATACAAATGCCACCAGAGTTTATTTTTTTTATCTAATAATGTCTAATTTATGTAGCCAATATTTATAAAAAAAAGTCATGCTACTTTTTACTGTGATATCATGAAAAGTGTCTTTCAAAATAAAATGTGAAAGGCCCTATTTTGCTTTTCAGGGTTTCCCTTTCCTCTAGTGTGCTACGTTTTTTTCTGTGCATGTAGATAGTCTGCAAAGGCCTGAAACGCCTCCATAGGACTCCTTTGTAATTCAGGAACATAGTAACACTCGCCGTTCTAATTGCTAGCACATGGTACGTGATAGGCTAAGGGGCGGGACATCTCTAAGCAGTTGACCAATCACAACAGAGACGGCCAGCTAACCACTGAGATCAGACTGGGCTCTGGTTTCAGACAGGGGGTGAAAAGAGGTGCTGCAGCACAGGCAGTATGAGAAACATAAAGAGCGAGAGAGAGTATGAGAGAATATGTCCTCTTTAAATCTACCGGCAGGTGTGTCCAAACCCCACTTTCTGTGAAAAATAATGTGTGTGTGTTGGACCGATACTCTGTACTGACAGATATTCTGGCCTTTGCAAACATTGAGAACTTCTTGATTTAATCCTACAGTTTAGTGATTCTCACCAGGTGTTAAAACTGTACAAAATCCAGCTTTTGTGGTAGTAGTATGAATGCAAACATGACTGAATCTGAAAAGAAAAGAACAAACGGCTGAGTTGGTGTGTATAGAAACTGTTTACTTCACTTTTTTGGTTTCTACTACAAAGCAGTAATTGGCCCTCTGGATGTGTGATGGTGTTTACACTGTGTGTGAAGAGGAAGTGGAATGGCTCTCTGCTGAAATGTGTTATGTCTGGACTACAGGAAGAGAACACTGCCATGCACCTCGCAGCACGGAGCGGGCACACACACATCCTGCAGAAGATGGTGGAGATGGGGGTGGACGTGGACGAGAGGAACAAAGTGAGTGGAGCGGGCTGCAGACCTCACTTGTGTGATTGGGAGATGTCTGATTTTTTTCAACCTTACTTTTTAATTTGACAGAGTTTGTCAAATATATTCAGCTTGTGTTGTTGTTGTTAGTAAACAGCAGAGGTGGAAGAAGTACTCAGATATTTTTTATTTTTATACTTTACTTACAGTAACATGAAATACAATCAAAAGTCAACACAAACATCAGCGAAACAGGTTAACTGACATCTTCATACTGTCCAATTATTCTTTCTTGTTGGATGTTGCTCATCCCCTCCATTTAAACGAATACTTTTTGTATATTTTCTGGTAAAAGTAGAAATACTACAGTATAAAAAATACTCTGTTACAGGTAAAAGTCCTGCATACAAAATCTTACTTGAGTCAGTACAAAAGTATTGGCATCAAAATATACTTAAAATACCAAAAGTAAAAGTACTTATTGTGAGTAATAGCCCATATAATAATAATTTATAGGAATTGACTGAATAAACTGTCTTTTGATATACATATAGAAAACTTAAAAGCTGCAAAGGGTTTCACTTCATGAATCATGCAGGAATACTACACTGTGGTTTACCTCACAGCTGTTAGTACTCTGATGATGATCTGTGGTCCAGGCACTACTGGGCACACAAAGGTTACTATAGTTTAGACTATTTTAAAACAACTTTTAAAAACATATAATATTGCAGCAATATATGGCAGTCCATACAGGAAGAGAAACACTTTGACACGCTCAAACAACCGCTTCACTCGTGCCGTTTTGTTTTAATGTTTATTGCAGGAAAAAAACAAGCAAAAATACAATACTTCCAAATACCAATAACCTTGAATATGATGACGAATGAAATTGATGGTTAAGGACTTTACAGCAGAAAATTGTTGTAGAAACTTGCAGTCAACAGAAAGTTTTCTTCCCGCGTACACTAACCACTTACTCCGCCCAAACTCCAGTGCACGCTCACCACCAATACACAAAAAATATCACATTATAAATAAAAACACATACCGGTACACCTTAAATTTGGCTCCTACATACGGTATAACATTAATGAAATATTTCTCCAAATACCTCCTGGTCAGAGACTACTTGACTTTTAGTAAAGGATTTCAACAAATTGGAGATAATTGACATCATTTGTGTCAATATCTTTACGGATTCATAGAAGATTAAGACAACAAACATCTGATATAAAGAATAAACTACCAATACAAAATGCTGTCTTTGGTAAACACACAGGAGGAGGATTGGTATGACTGTTTTGTATTGAGGCATCATGCTAAGTAAGGGAATTATATCAATTTGACTAAAACCTTATAGTGATCTGCTACAAAAATATTAAAATACATAACAATTTGAATGCTACCTGTCAGACCTCTACTTAGGCTGATGCTGCTTTTAAATGCTCCTTGGACAGTCCAATTTCCTGATTTTGAAAATCTTCTTCGGACTTTGCTGTGTTTGTGAGTCTTTTATAATGTTGAGAGTTTTTTTTATCATTTTGCTCAGAACGTTATACAACACTTCGATTTCTGCTTTTCGAAATTGTTGTTCCTTCCCAATGTGAATACTTCCAATCGGGGACATTTGACACCACATGAATGCAACACACATTCCCTATCTTACAATTTTAACAACATATTGACTCATAACATAATTACTGTGTATGCCCCGTGTTTTGAAAAGGCTCCAAAATGTCATGACTCCATTTTCCTTTGCTTTCACGTAGTTTCATGAAAATACTGCCTGTAGTTTTCCATTAACCTGCTGACAGCTTGCTTTCACTGAAAACACTGAAACATTGACTTTATTTAAAAGTATTATGTCAACAAATTTCACAAAATTATACTAGGTTAGTTAAAAGCAATACTATTAAGTTGAATCTTTTATTTAATCTTAATATTATTGCATTCACCTAACCTAATACATTTATGTGAAATCTGTTGACATAATACATTTAATAAAGGTCAACGTTTCAGTTTTTCCAGTGTTGTTAGTCCCCATTGACAGCTGTGTTCTCACTTGATGTTTTATTTTTCTCTGATCATATCACTGGAATGGTAAACTGACCTTGTGTTCGGCTTCCATAAGTGGTTGTCATGATTTGTTGACATTCAATAAAATAATTAAACAATTGACTGACTTCACAACAGCTGCAGTCAGTGTGGAGCGCTGTGCACTGACACGTTCCCTCTCTGTTCCAGGAAGGCCTCACAGCGCTGCACCTGGCCTCTGACGGAGCTCACTGTGAGTGTGTCCGGCTGCTGCTGGAGGCCGGCTGCGAGGCCAATGCTCTGACTAATGTACGCTCTGTCCACTCAATGGCATATATCATTTGCAATAAACACATCATATTGTGACTTTTTAAAATCTTTCCACAGTCTAAAACTATCTTCCTTTTCCTGCCTGCAGAAGAACATGACTGCCCTTCATTACGCGGCTCAGCATGGCTCTGACAGAGAAGCCAGTCTGCTGCTGGAGGCAGGGACCCACAGAGACGCTGTGGACAGTGTGAGGATGCAACACATTTATTAGATTGTATGATGGAGTAGATGTAGATGTTCTATCCTACTCTGCTTTATCTGAGTTCTGTTCTTATAATCATATGTATTTTATGTCTCTTTATTTTGCATTTATTTTATCTTTTTACCAAGGAATAGGACAACTAAAAACTATGTAATGTGCAGTATTGGGATGTAAAGTAGAGTGCTGTGCAGATTGTAAAAGAGGTAGCTGTGTTTACACATTTACAAGATTAGTTCATAGGATGTGTGCATTAATGTAATATGTGAGTGTACAATAATATAATATAGAAATGCTGTCATATAAATGGCAACGAGCATTGATATACAGAAGGTGAAGAGCCGAGGCGACCATGTTTCTGAGCCGTCAATAAATGTGACTAAATCACATTTTCTAACCTTTACGTACTTTGTAAAGCTCTACAAATGCTTGGATGAAAAGTAGTAGTGTCATATCTTCTATATACATGTTAGAGTGATATTACATACACACAAGCACTCATGTCTGTCTGTATGACTGTGCCATGTGACGTGCTTCTCTGTTCAGTGGGGGGGGGAGAACATGCAGCAACCACTAGTTAGCATCACCAGCAGGTTTATTACCCCCAGTGGCCGTATCACCATCACACTGTGGCAGAGAGCATTGCATTCTGCTACC